CGTCCTCCAGCGACCACCAGTGTACGCCAGCTCCAGTACTAGGAAAGTATCGACATCGATCTCGAACGCCAGCCTCTACCAGCGGCTGGCGTCCGAGATCGATGTGTCTCGACAGACTGGGGAAGTACAGGTATAAGAAACGACAGCGTCCACCCACCAACTTTTGCCAGCGTACAGCAGCGTCTAAAAGTGGAGAGTCTGGGAAAGTAAGAGGGTAGCTGTATTAGGGACAACTTCTTAAGGCATAGAATTACGCAACTTTGATGTATGGCCTAGCGCTATTGTAGAAGCGGTTGTAATTTCACGACGCCTAATCCAGCTGTCTGTTACCCCCCTATTCCCCATGTTCTCCACTCCAAGACGCTGCTGCACGCTGACAAACGCTGGTGGACGCTGGCGCTCGCAGATCGATACCTATACTTCCCTAGTCCCTCGAGACGCTGACGGAAAGTTTGAACGCGGCCTCACCTTAGCAACGAACAATGGAGGAAACTCATTTACCGTGACGAAATGCTTGACCCTATTTCCCACTTTCAACTACCTTACTGCCAAAATCTCGCAGATACGCGAAGCAGCGCTCAGCGACGGCGGTCAATGCGTTAACCACAAACACGAATAGATACAATAACTTTTACTGCTGTTGCACTACCGAAGCCGAAAAACAATAACAAAACATGTTGCACTATAAACGATGAGAAATTAAACAAAGATCACAAATAGTGTTAACCGGTCCATTCCAATAAAGTATTTACATATGAAGCTCCTAGCTCATTAAGACGATCCTTAATAGCCATTAGAGTTTTCCAGTGACAAAGTCATAAAGCAAAGTGGGAACAGCTGAATCAAATCCAACAATGTCCAACATCCCAGCATCTTCAGGATCGGCGATGGTGAAATTGGTTGCGGTCATTCCCATAACAATCAGTTTTGCGTCTGTGATCCCAGAAGATTCACGGTAATCACGAAGTGCTTGGTAAGGGTGAACCTGGAAAAATATCAATAAAAACAACTGATTTCCCCGGACGACAACTCTACAAAAAGGATTCCATATAACCGTCATTTGAAAAACTCACATCACCGAAATATGTTTCGCAATCAGTGTAGACCACAAACACATCAAACTCCTTCTTCTTTTCCTTGGCCCACAACATCGGTAGAGCACAATCGGTCGAGCCAAACTAGATTTGAAAATTCAAAACAATCCGTAAGACCGGATTATGAGTGCTCCGAGTGGATTATGAAAAAACGAAAAAGAAATTATGTTTGAAAAAAGAGGAAGCCATGAACACCGTTTGGAAAGGATAACTCTAGGGTGACCACAAAGCGGACATGTTCGAAGAATTTCACTAACTAGCTGAATAGCGAAAGAGACACGCGTGATTTGAATATCAGCCTCCATTATTAGCATCGTGAGTTCGACGCTACTTGTACAATTCAATTCTCACTCCCATCAAATGAGCTCCTCTTGAAGATTATCTGCACAACCACTCCGAGTACCCTGATCCTTGTCCTCTACGAGGTGAACTGGTCCGTAGCTGCATTTCTCCGCTTTAAAGTGCAAGAAAAGAGGACTGGAAGGCAGTGATACATGGATGCCGTCTTCCGACTCTGCCGGCGCGGTCCGCCTGACCAGGCACATGCCCGCGCCTGACCATAGGCGAACGTGCTATTTGTCTGCGCCTCCCCACTACCGGTTGTTCTGTAATTCTGACTGCATGTTCGCTGCGCAATCTTGAAATCGACGCGCTGCACCTTAGAATAGCGCCAATGGAGTCGGATGGGGGCACCCGCGTAGCCCTACTCTTCAGCCCCGTACCGGTCCATTGCTGAGCGGAGGAAGGGGTGTGCTACACTACTGCTGCTGACCTGTTCACCTCGCACCTGGAAGAACCGTCCTCGGAGAAGAGTACACAGTTCCTCGTCGAGGACAGCGCCAGTGATCATTATCTGCAGGTTGTATGGCTGACAGTCATTGGATCATGTAGCAAGTGGGTACTACCGAGAACTCAGACCAAGTTTTTCGCACACGATAAGTGGCTCACCCACCCCGGAGCCCCTCCCTTGGAAAAAGCCCATAACCTGGCTCGCCGAATGTTTCTTGCACATTTCGATGTTTTGGCAGCCGCTATCCTCTATCTGTCTGCGTCACAGGGTTTCGCAACAGGACCATGCACAAAAGTTCAAGATGTCACGTAACCCTGCGCACCGCGCCACTTAGGTAATAAATGGCTTCTGCACATTAGGTAATAAATGGCTTCTGCACATCGGGTAATCGTGAATGCGTCCTTAACTAGTAAACCCCATAACAATCGGGGTGATAGGGGGTGATCGGGATATAACAGCACTACATTTCTATGAATATAACAGCACTACATTTCTATGACTCATGATGCAGCGCGCCATTCCCAACCACTGCGTCGTCTTTATCTCTACGCAGAGTTGGTTTCGTCGCCAATCAGTGACTAGTAAAGCTACCAATGAGCCAATGAAAGCACTGAAGCCACACACTCACACTCAAGTCATTCATGTAATTTTCGATCTTGGAGAGCGTCCAGTCTCCGTTGAACGGTAGTTCCACCAGTTCATCGCAGAACCCAACACACTCCACCTGTAATACTGCAGTTAAATGCAACAAAACGAGAGAGAATGGTTGATTGGATTTGTTCGATCACTCACTGTCTTTTCGTTCTTTAGACTAATAAGTGAAAGAGCAGCAGACGCAGCTCGGCAAGACAGCATTGTACCAGAGATACGAGCAGTCATGCTTCCTGAAATACAATGATGTGTTTGCAGAAGCCAACAGTGTCACAAGCATGACTACAGCACTTTGAAATTGATTAGGCTTTTTTCGTTTTCACATATATCACATTTTTGTGCGGTTCGGAAGCGGAGTCAGATGAGGAACTCAAACTTACGCACTACCGAAGATCGCATCTTTACAAATGAATGTTTCTAAAAACCTGTTGAGCGACTGTGACACACCTGATACGTCAAAAGCAAAGCAAAATCGTTTGTTCGTGGGCGGGGCGTTGAAAAATGACTTGTAGAAAGCATCCTCCAAAGCTTGGTTAATCTGAAATTAATGGATATTTACAGAATATAATTGCAATTACACAAAAGGAACCTTCTCGTCCTTTTTCCACTCAAGTTTGCCCTTGTCTCCGTGTCCACTCTCGTACACCTTTTTCGCCATCAATACCTGTGAAACAAAGCTAAATTGCCAGTGTGCTTTAAGTATTTCGGGAATTACCTGGATTGGATGGATCTTTGCCCGCTTTAATTCCGCTTCATTGGTGAGCTTAGCAACAACCATATCACGATACGCGCTGGAATATCTTAGCTAGGTGACGAAAAATGTACAAAACTCAAGAGATAACTCACTCTGTCAAAACATTGATTGACTGCATTTTGCCAAGGTTCCTGATCATAGCGGTCATTGGCATATTCTCTAGAAGGGCTTGCCACACAGCGACCGAGTTGAGCATCTCTGTTGGTAGATGCTCTCGCACCAAATCTAAGAACAAAAGACGTCAGAAATCACGTCACAATCCGTACTAGCACCTTCTGCGCTCTCAAAAGGGCTGCTGCTAAGACCTCATCTTAATGCAAATAGTAATGTCTTACGGTGTTTCTTTATTGCCTCAACAACTTTGGCCTCATCCTTCTCGTGTTTCAAAGCCAGAACCGATTCTACGAGATCGAGCGCCCTGCAACGTAAGATAATCTAATGGTGGATTCGGCCAGGTGAAGGCCTGTGAAATTCCACTGCATTACTCGGCGAGTGGTCAAAATAGCGGACCTGCTCCCGAGCTCAACATCCATTTGAACAGCGCTGTATTTACTTGCCGGTTGTTCGAGCTCTGCGTCCTCCTTTGAGAGATTTCGCTTGCGAGTTTTCAGATCTCCTAAATCCAAGAACTTATAATTAGGTTAGTTGGCCATACAAACATGCTAGAGAATACCTTTCACTGCAAAGTGAAACAACTGTTCATATTCCAAGAGCTTCTCGGGAGTGCTTCCTTCTTCAGTTTTGGATGAGCAAGGCGGAAAAGGTCACGGTGTGACCAACCGCCTCGCTGGGGGTACTTGGTAAGGTGCATGGCGAGTTGCTCAGGGCTTTTGCTCGCATACCTAGAACCACATATGATCTGTGTAACAGTCGAAGGGGTTTTAAGCGAAAATTACCATTGCTGAATAGTGCTCCTCATAAGGCGACCCCATCCAGTTGACTTCTTTCCTTCTTCGGCTTGAGTGGACTGAGAAATCATTTCGCAATATTTGACGAAGGTGAATAGATGAGTAGGAATGCGACAAACCTATAAGATAAAAGAATGTGAATGTGCACGTGAATACGAAAACAAAAGACTCATCATAGTTCAGAGTATGAGTAATGATGGCATGAACACCTAACGGTTTGCATTTCCTATCTAGTTGGTGGCAGTTACGTGAGAGGAGAAACTCACTGGGTTAGTTGAAGAATTGAAAATGAGAGTACTGAGGGGGTTGACAGCAAAGAGAAAGCTCAGTTTCATTTCTCACGCACCTCGAGACAAAAGCGGGGTAGTCGAGAGCAAGAGCGTAGTATTACAACTGCGCCCATAAACAAGAGAAGGGAAGAACAACAATTTTGAGGCCTCGGTTTGTCCCTTACATTTACAGCGAACTTGACTAAGAAATCTGTCGCATGACTGAGCGAGTATTCCTGACAATACAGTAACGGAGATAGCTAGTGACGGTTCTGCGTCTCGAGCTATGACTTTTTAAATCAAACTGAATTCGAGAAATTGTCGGTTACCTACATATCTACTTCTTCTCATGTTCCATCATCTGCTTTACCCCTCTACTTTGGAAAAACTCAATTTATAACCCAGTCTAACCCTAATGGCCCTCTTCTTTTCATCATACCTCAATTGCTCCTACATTGCTTGAACAAGCGCGTTTTACAGTCAACGGTGTAGGCCATAAATCATCTTTGTCGAGTCGAGTGAGAGTATTAAGCAGCCTGCAGACTTCGCGAAGACGCGCTATAACGCGCGTCGCATCGGCGCGCTAAAAACTGCAACACGCTCCAATGTTATAGACGCGAACACAGCCGCAGATTGGGATCTATCGGCTCCGGCCACTTGTGTACTGACAGAGTTTGGGAGATCAAGGTGTACAGTCGCCTAATCACGCTGTCTAGTATGCGATCGTTTCTGACTGTGGGAGACCATAAAAGAATGCGTGAGCACCGGATTATGTGATTTTATTGCCCGCCCTCTTGTCATCCTATACTCTTTCAAAACACACAGCCTGCCTCGACCGATTTCCGTCTGTGTCTCAGGATTCGACCGCTGCTGCAATTGAAGCGCGTCGCCGCGCGTCCTCGCGAAGTCTGGCGTGACATTGAAGGGTGTTAAGTACTCACATCATTCACAATGCTGAAGGCAGACTTATGGAGTTCATTCAAATATTTCCTCCTCAGTTTATCAGCGTCTCCTCCACCAGATTCGGACCCTTTTGCAGCCAAGTCGGAAACGTTGTACCTGCAAGTAATTAACGTTCGTACCATTACGCAGCACAACAAGTGTATGCAGATCTCCACAACAAGTGCACCCCCCCGCGGCACATGTCCCGGTCATCCCTCTCGCCGTAGCCGAAGAGCGCCCAAACAAGTATAACACTTGCCTTGCACATAAAGCGAGTGCCAACAAGAGAGGATCTTGTTTTGGATTTCGTCCGGGGCAATTGAACTTGTACACTCTTTCAGAATTGATACTTCCACGACCTAAGTCGAAATCTTTATCATCTTCAAAAAAGGCACTGATAAAAGCTTAAAATAATAAACAGGCATGATAAGCGCGAATCTTTTCGTTTCAGACTAAACCTGAACTTCGAGACGGACTAAAAACACTTGTTACAGAGGTTGAAACAACCCCTGAGATCTATCTGCCTTATTTCTTGACGCTAAATGCTGCCGTACGCTCAAAACGATCACGCAAGGTATGCACGCAGCCACAGAGACGCTCATAGTTACGTACCAAATGAGACCTGAACGGTGAGATCTTCTCCCAGTTTTAACCTAAAGTAGAAAAACTTCGACTAAAAGACATGTCCCGGACGCGATACGGAGAACGCCCATTTGCACCTATTCTGTTTTCTGATCAGAAGGGAGGTGCACGGCAGATGAACTGTGTCTCCCTCTATATCGCTCATTCGAGTTGTCACCTGGCCTTTCAAAACGTTTTCGCCAGTCGCGGATCATCCTAAAAGTGCGGTTCCATGATTTTGCAGTTGAGAACGCGAAATTGTTGAATATGAACGGCACTCTGTGCAGTGTGAGGGCTAGCTTTTCACTCCTCAACTGCGATCACCAAATCAGAAATCTATGCCCGCTTGATCAATGGATTCAAGGAACGTAGCTCGCTCATGCACTATTCAAGAAACGAGAAACTGCAAATACGCACAGCGGATGTAAGATCGAGTATTTTGCGGCTCCTCTGTCGCATGCTAGCAGACTTACAAGGACAACTGCGCTTTCGTAATCACCTAATTCCACCGATCGATACACTTCTCCGTACCACACTAATTCTCAGTACTGCTGGGCTATCATCCCACTCTTCCAAGCCCCGTGGCCGAAAAAAAAAAAAAAGAAATGAAGGGGGAAAAGAAAATATCAAAAGTTTTAAAAAAGCCCCTCCCGTTCTGCATACCCTTTCTCTATTATTTTGATAAGAGCCTCAACATTGTTAACGGTAAGCTCTTTCTCCGTAACTGTAATAAGTTCCTCCATCAGTTCCAAGAATGATGAATCTACGCACTCTCGACTCGTCACTCACCGCGAAAACATAGCCACCGGCGGTATTAACAACCTAAAACAACTCGTATATAACATTTTCATAGAATTTTTTCAACAAATCATTAATCTCAAAACCTTATGCATCAACCCATACCGAAAGGCAACGGTATAATTAAGGCCAATTTCATCCAAGTAATACACAACCTTCCCTCGCATAGTTTGCAAACCTGAGTGGATTAATGTATGTAAAAGGGGGCACCAGTTGAAAATGATCTACAAAGTAGCGAATGGCTCAGCTCAACTGGAGAATGAAAGAGTAGGCGACACATCTCACGTTTTCAATGATTCTCCATATCCGGATTTCGCGCTATGAACACAGCTCAATGGACCGATTAACAACTCCACCGGCTATATCGACTGGCTTACAGTCTGCTTCGCTGAGGATGCTGGGACGTGTCAGGGAGCGGAATGTGGCGCTGCGCCACCCTTTTCCATAAATTGCTGAAGAATACACCCGACAACTATTGGTGAAAACGACTGTATACCACTGCGCCATCGCCTCGGCGAGCGTTTTCGGACTTTTTTTTCAGCCTTTGAGAGATTGACCGAACATTAACAATGCTCGACGGAAAAGCAGGCAAAACGACTATCGTGGTTCAGGTTTTTTCTGTCTCCAATCATTTCGTTTTCCTTGTGTTTCTAAAATGGGCCACTATACCTTCGTTAAAGCACGGACGAGCTCAGACGCACGTTGTCACCGACGGCAGCCTTTGGACGGAGAAAGGGCGTGCGCTGTACATACCCTACGCCTCCCCTCAACTTGCAAAATTGCACAGTTTCAGTTTTCTCTGTGGGTCAGAAAGAGATTTTTGTGGCTCTTTTCGGTTCAAACCGGAAATCCCCACGATCACAGTGCCAAAAAGAACGAAGAAATGCTTCCCATGGATTGTGCCTTCTTTACGGATGCTATTTACATCGACAAGCAAAAGTTGAAGCATTTAGTAGTCCCCGGTGTCATCAAGTAGAGGAGTTAGCATAGAGGCCATTATTTGGTTATGTATCAATTAGAACTTTTAGTGGGGCCCTGGCGAAAGGCCAGAGCGCAGACAAGATACAGGACTGCCAAGGTATCGAACGGTGCAAAAGATATGTCATGAGGAGGTGAGCTTCAAGAGAGAAACAGACTCGAGGTGGATGAGTCATTTATCAGCGTTAAGAGTAGGAAGAGTAGGAATGTTAGTGGTAACAGGTGGGTCGAACGAATGTGGAAGCGCCGAGAAAAGCAGACTGACGTATTTCAAGAGTGATGTTGTACTTTAACATGGTTGAGCAAGCTCATTTTGCAGGAGAGTGGCGCGGACTCCCTCATAAGAATGGATCCACATGGTGTGAACAGCACAGGCTAGGCAAGGCACCCTTCTCTACCTTTGTAACCGACAATGTAGATATCAAGCAACCTTCTCTACCTTTGTAAGCGAGTGTAGACATTAAGGAGCGTCGTGGTACCTAGTTAAACGTTATTTTGTAAAATCAAAAACAACTTAATTCTAACCCCTGATCATCCCTCTCCTTCTTCATCTGTCCAGGTACGCGTTCAGGGTCTTCTAAGCAGAGACGACGGAAGTCATCTTCACATCTGAAAAAATATTTCTAAAAACCAAGGATGGAGTGAATGTATCACTGTGAGTTTGCAGAACACCTGTAGTGAGAAGTTAGGTTACACAGTTTTCCCACTCTTTTCATGGTCCGTGTCACAAAAAATTGACGGCGGCAGAAGGAGAAATAGGGGTTAGTAGAGGCACGGTGAAAATAGGAGCATTATCGAATTCCTAAGGCAATGTTTACAGCCTGCGACCCTGATGAAACCATAGTTGGGCGAAAAGCAAAAAATACGGATTGATCGGAGAATCGCCAACCGCTAGTTTCGCCGAACCGCCGCGGTTCGGCGGTTGGGCGAAAAGCAATAGATGCGTATCGATTTCGCTGGCGAAAAACGCGTCCAGGCGATCGAGCTAGCGTTTCGTCGAAGGCGAAAAACGTCGCGGTTTGGCGAAACGCCCGTCGATTCGTATAGAAACCCTTTCGCCCAACCGCCACACTCTTCGCCCAACCGCCAGTCAGATACGTATCGAAGGCTTTCGCTGAAGCGTTTTCTTTCTAGAGAAACGCTGGGTCGCAGACTGTGAAAGAGGGAGGAGTATGGATGGACTCACTACTCATAATGCGGGGAAAGCTAGAATACCCACGGCCAATGAGGTCACAGAGCGCTATGTAGACGGGAGAGACAAGAAGAACAAAATCGATGCGGTTTGTAGATTCAGAGGACACAGTCTGACCAGTCTACACCTTAAGCGTTTTGCAACGCAGGGCAGTTGATCCCCAAAAAAGCTATGGCAAACAGTGAGTATTAATTGGTACGCTGTATCACGGCACGCAATAACTTTCACGCTTTGTTAACTAACGCCTTTCCATTCAGAACTGCCTCACCTCGTGGATTGGACTCCCTTTTGCCTGAACACTCCCAGCAAAAAAGGTTAAGTTCGTGTAGACGAGGGAAGCGAGGATACCAGTCGTCTCAGGATATCTGTCAACGCGAAGCTATTTCCTTTTTCCTTCGTCTTTCCTTCTTTCCTTCCTTCCCTTAGAATGCTCAGTCAGAACAGGCGACCTTAGAATGCTCAGTCAGAGAGATGCGAGAAGAAGATGGCTCTTGACCCTCCCAACGAGAAACTATCTAGCTGACAGGTGCCCTGTAACCGTGTATTTCTATTCGCCTGAGCACCCCCCCCCCCCCCCCCCCCCCCCCCCCCCCCCGGACGCTTATGACTCCTTCCAAGACGACTGTCTTGGAGTGCACACGACCGATGAACGTAGGCTAGTTCATTTTTTCTCCCTCTCGTCCGCGCAGTTGCGGCTGACTGAATTAACTGTCATTATGTGGTCGATCATTAGACGCTACGGAGCTGGAGGCGCCCACCTTTTTCGTTTGACAATAAGGCAACCACGGCGACTGTGGTCGCCAGTGCTCTTGGTAGCGATTCCATTCTTCCTTAGAAAACTAAGTATTAGTTACCCCAGGAAACCAAAGATGCCATGGCTCTATACAGTTTACGTTTAGCGCTGTCCGCTGAATGAGTTCAAATACGGCTTTTGTTCAAAATAGCTTTTTGGCCAATTTATTTTTACTGCCACCGTATTTATTAGCGGTTTGCTGCGGAAGGAATTCTGAGGCTACGTGTGTGAGTGTGCGGTATGCATTTCGAAAAGGTCATTTGGAGAGGACCCTATCACACCAAATGACCAGGTACCAAGTTGTGGATCAGCAAGACAAAACGGTAAGCAACGTACTAGTTTCACCACACTTTTCACCCATAACTTCACGGGGACACCCCAGCCCACAGAGTTAAGCGCGAACTCACCTGGAAAGGTGCCAGCATAGGCCCCGTCGTCTATTTATCAACAATTTGAAGGTCTTTCCACCCATAACCGACGGCAAGTGGGAGGCCGATTATTGACCGAGCACTTTCAGGATTCTGACGCCACGCGCGTGGACGCGTTATTGTAACGCCGAGACCGACGCGCTCCGGCTATTCCCGGTCTGCGCCTACGTTCCGCGAGTAGACGCGAACGTAGCGCCACGGGAATCGAATGGCACGGCGATGTGTTCCTCAGATAAGTGTGAGGTAAATAGGGATGGTGGGCGTTCACTGAATCAATTAGACTTCTATCGATGACTCAAATAGTCGTATTGCAATTGCGGTTCGGGCATCGCACGGACAACCTTCAGAATCAACGCCCATGCAAAACGCGTCGATAGCTCTTTTTTCTTTTTGCTCTGTCGTCCCGCGTGGACTTATGTGGCATTGTGAACTTGCACATTCCACTTTTTCACGTATGATGACGAGGAGTCCCCTCCCTTTAGGAAAGCTCGTTTTCTGACTCGCCATAGTTTCCTGCATTTCTCGATGCTTTGGCAGGCGCTGTCCTCTATTTGTCCGCGTTTCTTTTTTCGCAACAGAATCATCGCAAAAGTTCAAGATGTCACGTAAACCTGCGTTCGCGTCCATACCTTCTGTTGCAATTGCAGCGCGTCGACGCGCGTGATGACGAAGTCTGAACGCTGCCTTTCACGTATTAACAAACGCTCACATGTCAAATAAAGCAGCAGTGAATTTATTTGTTTTCACGAGTAACCTTCTTTTGTTACATGTCAAGTCTTTGGCCACTGGAGAAACACCATCTGGGCCTAAATGCCTTTTGACCTTAAGATTACTATTTGGACCATTCAAACTAGACAACAACACCCATTTCGCTTCGTGCTTCTTGAAAACTGATGGCACAAACGAGGTTACCTGCAGGGTATACATCAGTTTTGAGAGAAGCAGAATAGTGTATATAACTCACGCCTCCCCACACCCTCCCCCCCCAAAACTTCGAGGCGCACGTGTATTTTTCTGGATCCAGGTGTTGCGTTCTGGGTTCCGGAGAAAATAACCTCCTTCGGTCACTCCCATTCCTCGTAAAAAGCAATCAACCTAAAAGCGGTAGGGTGGCTGTAAGGTTTCGAACGCAACAGGAAACAGAACATCACGAAAAGCACCGTTTCGTCGTTTATGCAAGAAGCTGCGACATGCAAGATGTGCCGCGCGACCTGGTAGCATCGCACGCCCCACGCCATAGAGCATATACTTGGATCTGAATCAGTCGGTGGAGCGAGTTCCCACAGCAGTGATGGTTGGTGATCGATCTGGGAGGAAGTGCAAGCAGTATAAAGTGCAAGAGTGATCATTTTCCTGCCTCTCGACACGCCGTAACAACTGAGTGATTGCGAAGACGTCAACTGTGACTGCCATGCTGGTTTCCATACTGGTACTTATCAGAGCTTCGCCCTCATGGATAGTAACATCGAAAAACAAATGTGAGAAAAGAACGAGCGAGAGCATTGTCAGCGAAGCTGGCCGCCAACACAAGGGTGCGATTGCACACTGCTCAGTTACCTCTTCACGAACGTCATCAGGAACAACGGAAGGCAACGGAGTACGCGGCTGTACCAAAAAAACCCTAAACCAAGTTTGTCGGTTACAACCTTGTTCATAAGGGTTATTCAAAGACTTTGCGGCGAGTGCGACATTCATTTTTAGTAAGGACACCACTTGAAAGCTCCTAGTTTGGGGACGAAACTCGTGGTCAATTTAGGTTTACAGTAGCCTTATCACGAGATCTTCACGCTATGTTTGTGGTAAGAGTACCGTAAACGCCTGAAAGCAAAGTACATAATGCTGACGGTCACGATCCTCAGTACATTCAAATCTGAGCTTACAACGAGTTTGTTGGGAAAATCGTGGTGTCAGTTGGCAGCGGTAAAAATGGGTGTCGTAACGTGATAAGGGCCCCGGATAGCGTTATTGCGAAGTCTCAGTGTGAAATCTTGACATTGCAGGGCTATAGTGCCCAGCGTCTATTCAAAATAGAAAACGGTGCCAAAACAGCACTCACTGGGTAAACGGTTTTTCTATCGTGATTCATACACATGACTCATCTGCTGTGGTTGTGATAATGGTTTGGTGACTAATTAGACAACCAAACTGGTGCTGTTTCAATAACCATGTGGGGCAGTGTGAAGCAGAGCGCTCGTTTGGTATAAGGGTTTGGAAGGACCAATACTTATCTAAATGTTCACGTAGTTTAGGATCGGGTTTCAGGATATCTGTCAACCGCAGAACCTTCCTCCTTTTTCCTTCCTCCTTCTTTCCCTTCCTTCCTTCTCTCATCCTTCGCCCTTATTTTCCTTCCTCTAAATGCTCGAACAAAAGCTGCGATGAGAGAACATTCTGGATCCTCACAGAGAGAGCTTCCGGTTGACAGATGTCTTGTAACCCGCAGTCGCACAAGGATTGCCTGCTTATGAGAATAGGCCGTCTGTTGGGCCGAGAGACGGGGGGGGGAGAGACGCAGAGACGCTACAGGGGTCTTTTTTTGCACGAACTATTAGGAAATCATCCTTATTACCCGACCCACAGTCGTTTCTTGCACATTCTAGAACTAAATGCCGTCGAACACAAGAAGAATCTGAAGAAACGAAGCCCGTGATTTCATAACCTTGTGGAACGTTTTTACAGAATTGCGATTACCGTAATCCGACGAACTATTGCACCAACACTTCCTGTGATACTAGAACAGCGCTGACGAATTCTCGACAACTAAAATTCGCCGCAAAACAGTAGGTTAAGCGTTTCAGTCAAACCCTCCAGTCTTTTTTGCTGTAAATATCCCGTTTGGAGTCCTATTTCCACTGATATGCATAGTATGGCTTTGTAGAGGGTTAGTAACTGAAAAAGATCGATACTGAAAACGTGAAAATATAACCCACTGTTTCTTGCGAAGCAGAAATGGTGTTGTCACACTAGAAATATAGGAGCCATAAGAAAGAAGTAGGTGAATTGTGCATTTACGGCCCGAGGACTTTGAACGGTGTGCTGAGGGATAATTATTCGGCTTGAGCTAAAACTGAGCTTTTTCCTTAAAGATGACCCCTCCCCCTCTAAAAGCTCACTAAATAGAAATCTACAGTTAATTGT